TCAAATCAATGGATTACACCATCAATATACTGGTATAATATAATTAAGCAATATACCATGGTCTTACGAGGGGCGTTCAATAAGCAACGCCCCTGACCCATTTCCGATAGCAGGAGATTAATGAAACTTGGCACAGTTATTAGTCGTTCTCTACATAGGAACCACCAAGAGTTATGAATTTCTCCCATCTTTTGATGCAGCTCTGGACACCGTTTCTGTAGAACATCCCGGGTTGGTCCTCTAACCACGTCGTAACTTCAAAAATCAAGGCTGCATCATCTGGGAAACGCTTTCCTTTCAAAAACAACGTCATGGCTGGGAAGAGATGTAAGTAAGAGGGTACAAGCTCAGGAGAGTAAGGGGGTGGGGAGGATTTCATAGCCACACGCCCGTGCTTCTGATCTGGGGACATGCGAGTTGTAGACCGGAGCGTTGTCCTGCAGGAGGAGGATACATTTACTGATCTTGCCTCGCCTCTTGATTTTGATAGCTTCTCTTAATTTCATCAAAAGTGGAGCGTAATAGGCTCATGTAATTGTGGTACCCTTTGCCAGGAAATCTGTCATCACTACTCCGTCCTGGTCTCAGAAGACTGTGAGCATGACCTTGACAGCGGAGGGCTGCACCCTTGCTACTTTGGAGGTGGTGAGTCCAAGTGCTTCCACTGCATTGACTGGGCTTTGGTCTCTGGATCATAGTGATGGACTCAAGTTTCATCCTGTGTAATCAGTCTTTTGAAACTCATCTTCTTGGCACATTTCCAAATTCATCCTTGAGTTCTCGACGCGTTCTTGCGTCTGGAAAAGTGTAAACAACCTGGGAATCCATCTGCCAGACACCTTATGCATATGCAAATGGTCATGAATGATAGTTTCCACAGACCATGTACTAATCTTGAACTCTTGGGCGAACAGTAATGCGTCGATCTTCCAAAATAGCTGTCTCAACTTGTCGGACAGATGCCTCATAAATGGCAGAAGAGGGATGACCTGGTCTGGGAGCTGTTTCCACAGACTTTCGGCCATGTTTGAATTCACGATGCCAGCGTTTTACAAGGTCATATGATGGGGCATCATCACCATAAGTTTCTTTCATTTGATCAAAAGTCTCCTTTGGTGTGCTTCCTTTCAAATACAAAAACCGTATCACTGCGCAACACTCTACTGGCTTCATTTCACACCTGACTCAGTTCAAACACCTGTAAATCAGAAACCACAATTAGTTCAGAGCTATTTTTTGCAACATGGTCCACAAAGATGGAAATCATTACACATGCAAAATTTCATCTAGATCAGACAACTGGAATGGGCCAGGGGCATTATTTATTGAAAGCGTAAACCCAAAGGTGACTAACACACAGCAGGGTTAAATGGCATGAGAAAAAAAAAACTTTGCAGAATTGCGCAAACTCCGCGTGAAAAACAATTCTTTGCAGTGACTCGCTCGTGAACCCGGAAGTTAGGGCGTACGTATACAAGCTTTGCCACTAACAGGAAATTGCACGAATAAAGCTCAAAACGCCGAAATACGGGTCCGAATTTGCTCCACCAGTTGATATATCTATAAACGCTGTATGCTAGTTCCAGGGCCCCTTTTTTATCATGTTACCACGATTGCAAGTACAGAGTTCCTTATGCTGTATTATATTTTGGTGTTTTGAAGTTATTTCTGCATCTCATGAATACCTTTAAAGTGAAGTTGGCATAACATAGTAGGAATAACCTCCCCAGAGGCGAGTATACCAGTGCATTCCTGAAATTGGTCCAAAATCTCCTGGTATTTCGCCTCTGAGTTTGGCCATTCCTTCAATATTCTGCAGCATTGATGCACGTTATATCGGTATAAGCCATGTATGACTTCTGTTATATTGCGCAACATCATGAGCCAGGCAACGAAAAAATTGACAACTCAGGCAGAGCACAAGATCTACAGTAAAGCAGAGAAAGAGAGCTGTGTGGTTTTCATTTTGCGTAATTCGGGTTGTTGTTTACATACAAGCGTCTACCCAACAAACATTGCGTTGTTATCATCGCTCGGGACTCAATTACCGCGTGTCCGCAGGTGGGGACCCCTCCGCTTAACATTTTCAGATTTATTGCGTAAATTGTAACGTGTCAAGTTTTGGAATAATTGCGTGAAGGAATGGAAACATCGGCGTTTCGTGACAAACATCATTCTCAAAATAACCCTGCTCTCGTCTCACTGACATCACGTTAAAGGGCGGTGGTCGTCGTGCTGCGCATGTGCGACTATAGTGTTGATGAACTTTATTTTTCCCACAAGCCAATGAACTTTGTTAATGGAATTTAGAAGTATGAGATTTGACCTAGGCGCGAATTACACTAATTACCACCAATGACTCCTTTGATACCTTCCAATCACCTACAAATATCCCATTAAAGCTTGGTATCGTCTCAGTTTGTACTCGTTGATCTGCGCAACAGTCAAAGTCGCCATCTTTGTTTATATGAGACCCATATATCTTGCGCATGCGTGGCGCAACGACTACCGCGTCTTAAAAACAATATTTCCGTCTCATGGGTTGGGTGGAGCTTAGTATTTGACTGATTATTCATCGACGGCAACCGTCATCGTTCATTAAATGCAGGTAGTCGACGTCTGCGCTAATCTTTTGTTTATGTGTATAGTTACTGATCTGAGCTGTGTAAAGTAAAATAAACAATTCATTTCAGGCGACGAGGCAAATTCAAGTCGGGTATATGCACAGTTCATTATAAAATGGCGTGGTCTATTTATATCAATAAATATAGTCACAGACATAAATTACGTTGCATAGAGTAAATCTCTTATTTCCCATTCTGTCTTGCATTAGTTCACTGACATCACAGTTGCTTAAAACGACACTGCTTTCTTTGATGTGTTACATGATATACTACACACACATAAAACCATAGCCACGGGCCACATTACATGAATTACAAATGTATTAACACAATCTCAAGACAAAAGACAATGGACAGCAGCAGGTCGATTGTGTAACACGTGATCTGCAATTCAATGAGTGGTTGAAGAGTTTGTTTCATTAATCTTTCCCCCATTTCTATTCATGTCTATGCATCCATTCCCCGCCACGGCATGTCTCAGAATTATCTCCAGGGGGAGTTTTATATCACGGCATAGCCTGCCTGATAAAACACGTTTCCAAATATAGTTTCAATGGGTCTATGCATATGACTGAGCAACTGTTGGTGCCATCGAATTTTTTTAATTTCAGTTTTGTGTGAGAAAAAGCCGGCGTACGAGCGAGCGAGCACGTATCTACGTTTTTTTTTTTTTTTTTTTTGACAGACAATTTGTTATGAACGCTTCGTCATTTATCTCCCATTTAAAACGCTTGGCTTATCATTGGACGCTATTTAAAATAGGAAACTGCTCTTGCCGGTCAGTGCACTCTGGGCATGCCATGACACATTTCGCGAACGAAAGTCCTGACGAAATATACACATATTGCGTAGCGTACTCAATTTGCTTGGTGAAATAAAATCGCAAATTACTTGTCGATTGTTGTTATAGGCCGCCATACGTTTCGTATAGTAATTGTCAGAAACTACAATTCTTGTAAATGGCCGACCACAGATCACTAAAAAATATTGGCGCTGTTAACAACTTCCTTATTTTGTCGCTAGAGGGCGCAACTTAAATAAAAGGAGTATTACACTGCACTCTGATTACATCGAACAAAGAGTTGTTACAAAATCCTGCTAGAGAATAATTCTAAAATGATAATGTTGTGACGTGTTTGTTATAGATGTCGGTGTCCTTGTATCAGCTGTCGGGACGGCAGTACAACGCCAACCAGTAGTGGTCGGAAAACGGGCGAATATCTTTTTCAAAGTATTATGAACAGGTAAATCTGTTAAACTGTAGATTCATTTTCTTAAAAGCATGGTTAAGATAGAAGCCTACATATAATCTCATGATAAGGTTTATAAGTTTATTATGTGCAATCTTGGGGCTATTGTCCCATGATACAAGAAATATTATATTTGTGTGTTAAAGTGAAGTTTCTTTTTATAAAAACACTTGTCCCTAATATTTTTGTTTTTAAATCGGTATAATTAAATAAACAATTCCATAGTCTAAGAAAAAAAGTTGCATTATCGACCTTTTTTTAAATTGCATTTGTCGGAATAATTCAGGACAACAAAATGTACCCCATCATTACCGATATAGGATTTGTCTACAGCCTACAATTTTAGATATAGCATAAAATCTCTATCAAGGGAACCTATGGTAAAAGTATTATCCACAAAATCCAACAATATTTTTTTTTCGAAAATTATGCTCGTGAACGCCAAATGTTTTAAAGTCAATATCGAGTACAATTTATTTAATAATGAATAAATTATAGGTATTTGTTATTTAATGACCTCTACCTTAACAACTAAATGATTGATGAAAGCCAAACCGAGACAACATTTAACAAATTGAAAAATTGGTCGGTACATTATGTATAATAATTTGAATACATTTTTACCGTGATTTGACTATCTGTTTACTTCTTTGTCATAGCTGCAATGGTATCAATCTGCAAAAAAAGTGGTGATTGGTGACCAGTTAACGAGTGATATCTTAATGGGGAGACGAAATGGTTTGAAAACTCTTCTGGTAGAAACAGGTCTCGATAAAAGGAGTGACGCGATAGAGAACATGCAAAGCAAGTCAACTGAATGACAGCAAATGGTGCCGGATTATTTTATTTCAAGTTTGACTGAGCTTGGGGAAGAACAGTGATCATTGTCGTCTGTGTTTTTAGTTCGTAATAAGACTGTTCAACATAAAAAACTTAAGGTAGAAGCCTACTCATGATTTCAATTACCCAGAATTTATTCATTTTTTAATAAATTGTACTTCCGGGCATTACAGCATTATTGACTTTTTAAAAGTTGGGGGTCACCAGGTTAATTTTGCGAGAAAATCATGGTTGTATTTTAGTGGTTAGTAGTCATTTTGGCAGTATTATAGTGCTTTTACCATAGGTTCCTATGGCAGAGACATTACGCCATATCTCAAATTGTAGACTGGTGACATAGGCTGAAAAAGTAATATATTGTAAATGATGGGGTACTTTTTGTTTTACTGTTTTTTTGTTTTGTTTAACATTGCGCTCTAAGGAATTGTTCTAAAAATAGTGATTTTTGAAAAATATTAGGACAAATTTCTCAAAATACTTCACTGTAACACACAAAGGAATGCTATTTTATGGTGCCATGAAACAATAGCTTCATGATTTTACATAATAAACCAATGAACATTGTCATGTGATTTATGACCAACTTTCACAAACATTATGAGCGAGCTTCTACCTTAAGAACAAAATAGCAACACTAGTAACATTTTGAACGTCAAAATCAACTTTTGTCACCTTTTGTAAAATCAGCCAATATAAAATCACGTTCAAATGGTTACTAATAATGGGTGTAAATACAAAAACCTTGAAGATGAGCGTAAAATGGTTAGAGAAACTGGTGTTGTTTTGTTAAATATTTAAACATTATTATTTTGTTTTGGTAACATTTTTTTCATAACATGCACTGGTATACTATAATTCTTTTAATGTGTCATGTTCTTGTAGTTCTTCGGTGAGGACACTACCCAGTGGTGGATCTAGGGGGGTCTTGGGGTCCGGGACCCCTCCCCCACGTTGACAAATGTATTCAATTTGTTTTTGTATAATATAAATAAATCATTAACTTAGTCTGGCGATTTTACCTCACCCTTTTAAACATGTTACAAAGGTACATAATGAACAGGCTGTGCATCGTGGGGTACCAAGCTACCAAGCAAGAGACAGATAAAACATTGGGTGGGTATCCTAGGGGCGGAGCTACGTCACAGACGTTCCACGGTCCTAAGACGCTCCCCACTGTACCATGCATTTCTATGGGCTCTGTGCGCGCTGCTGTGGAACACCGGTCGAGCCGGTGAAAATTCGAGAAAACAACACCAACTCAACTTTGAAGTAATCCTGAACAACAGAATTTATATATGTTACACAAGTAGGGATAATCTTGTTACACTGTCCAGGGGAGTCTCAACAACCATCCCAAAGTACCGTTTTCTGAGAGTTTTTGGCCTTTGTTTTCACCGCGATGGTTGCCAGGCGGTGAAAATGCCCGGATGTCCGCCCCCTGTTTTGTAGTAGGCTCAGGTAATGAAGACACTGAGTGGGTATAATTTACCGTTAAAACAATCATTGAGGCCGATGCATTTTAATGTGTTAAGGAGAAGGATATAAACAAGTAGATATTTGATATTCATCACGCTCACAACAAATGAAATTCACGAAATGTATCAATGGCTCCGTTTATTTTGTCGAAGGTCTACGCGTACTTGGTTTTGGCTGTAAACCTGAAATAAACGACGATAGTTATTGCGCCCTCTCCGCCGGACTACGCCCGAATACGTCTGCGAGGGCGCAATGAATATCGCCGACCATGTAGTGCTAACTTTCTTTTTGTTATGGTGATATCCTTGTGACTGGCTATTTGAATGCCTGAACTTCTTGAACTGCAACATAGACATCGTTTCTATAAAAACACGTTTGTGTTTTTTTTTATTTGCAATTTATTCAAAATAACCTTGCACTCAACAAAATGTTGATAATTCTTAGTGTTTTTAAGCTACGTCCATTTTAATACAGCGCTGCCCTATGATTTTAGCAGAAGATACTGGTACAGTCGGATAACTGACCAATGAATGGACGCAAATATCCAGAGGCACCAGTTTGACTGATCCACGGTTACTAGAAGAACCGTTTTTGAGTCTATAAATCGCGCCCCCTAGTGGCAGAGTTCTTCTGTGACATCAAAATGAAGTACTTTTTGGGTGTTTTGTGTGGAATTTACTTTCTCGGATTTTCGACAAGTTGAATGCAAAATATAGGAATAAAAATATATTTGCTGGATTTTATCATTCCTTCAGCAAAAATAGCGAAAATTTATTCCAAGCGAAAATAAAGTATTTTACAGTATATAGACCACATTCCCGGATGTCGTCTCGCATGCGCGCGCATACCATTTTAGGGTGTAACGTAACTTGCACGTGGGATGTTGAGCTTACGGGCGTACCAACTGAAGCGACAAAAATAAGATTCCCTTCTATGGACTATCAGAAAACTTACAAACTTTTATTTTCTGCCGTGACAAGTCAGGCGTATTTCTGCACCCCAGTTTTGCAGCAGTTTTAGTTGAATTTAGTAAAATCTCTCAAAAGCGGTTTTCATTGATAGACCACTTTCCCGGAAGTAGCAAAACTCGGGTGCAAAAATACTTCTGTTTTCACGGCGGAAAATACAAACATGTCAGTTTGCTGATAGTCGATAGAAGGGAATTTTATTTGTGTTACGTCGAATGGTACACACAGAAGCACAATATCACGCGTGCAAGTTTACGTTACACCCAAAACGGCATGTGCGCGACTACCGGGAAAGTGGTTTACGGACAAGTACACACGTCACAATTTACACCCTTCCTGAGTAACAAGTGTCACGCGCCATCCAGCGGTCACTGTTGCCTGGGACTGATGGTAGAGATGCATTTACACCATTGACGACTTTCCCGGAAGTAGCGAGACTGGGGTGCAAAAATACTCCTTTCAGTTTGCTTATAGTCGATAGAAGGGAATTTTATTTTTGTTACGTAGATTGGTATGCCCAGAAGCACAATATCACGCGTGCAAGTTTGAGTTACACTCCAAAACGCATGCGCGCGCCGTATCTTCGACTTCCGGAGAAGTCTTCTATAGACGCGCTTCGTCACTGGGGGCGCTATTTATAGGAAAGGTGCATTGCATTATCATTACTATTGCAGACTTTCGTTTTGGTTAATGTTATAACTTAAAGGTGAGGCGGGAGATTATTTCTCCTAAACGGTGGAGCATACATACGGTAAATGGTATTAAATTCAACAATAAAATAAATAAATATCATGCTACATCTATAGTTTGTTCATACCTCTCTTTATTCTCAAAAGATTAATACAATGGAATATGAACTGTGCTAGAATGGGAATGAGCAATTCGAAGACTTTCTGATCAAACTAAACATCAACCAAGTCGTGAAAAAACTCGCATTTAAAAGAAAAACGCCCATTCAAAGATCTTTACATTTGAAAAACCCAGATAATTTTTAATTATTTCTCGGTCAGAATTCATGTAATGTAATCAGATGCTACCAAAATTTAAATGAAACAACTGGCTTCACATTAAATTATAACATATAATAGATCAAACAAACAATTTTATTTATTTTGGTCCACAGATGCATCAAAATCAGAAATTTAATGCGTTTTCAGATTTAGGGTAAAATTGTAGTCAGACTATGCTCATATTCAGGTAGAAATACCGAAAATAATCCATAATCATAAGTTGGCCTTGTAAATTGTATGTTTCCGTCTCTGAAACCATTGGTGCCACGATACATGAATGAAATGTACATATTATGCAAATTAAATTCATAGTTCTGCTCAGTGATTTGTATTACATGTGTGAAATCAAAAACTGGGCTTCATAATTCAGAAACGGTTTTCAAAGTCATAATTACCTCGGTGGCGACCTATAGAGAC